CTTAAACTTATTTTATTTTTACTTGAAACGTAAAACATTTAGCCTATCATATTTTAATCAGGTATAAATTGTTTCTTAAATATGAAGATGCTTCAATATATTTAGTACATAAAGATTCAAATCGCTGCTCAAAAACTTCTTCAAATAACGTATTTCGACAGACCAAAAAATCAGCCAGAAATTCAATGTATCGAGAGCCAAGAAAACGTGCCAATTTTTTTTTAATGTTCTGGATAATATGGAAGATGCAATATAAATATTGCATAGTTGAAAAAGTAGCATCAATAGCTGGTCCTAATCCAGTATCACAGTTTGAAAAAATTGTTGATGGAAGCAAATTGTCTGTTGCTGCCATCATATTATTAAGAACCCAGGTATATGATGAAGTCGTTTCATCAGACATTAATGCTTGGACTAATAATCTTAAATGTCGATGCTCATCAACACCTATAAATAAACACAACGCTAATCGATATTTATTTATTTGTGCTATATTGTCAGTTAACATTACATCATTATGTTTTAAATATAGATTTCGCTAATGAGGCGTTATCTAGAATAAATGATAAAGGTGGTTCTTAATACAATAATCTGCTATAAATCATGTTGGGTTATCTTCTTTAAACATTCTCAAAGCCTTCAAAAGATTAGACATATCATTTTCAGGATCCTTCTCCAGATCTGTTATATTACCCTTTCTAAAATATTGAATCACGTTGGCTAAATCTTTATCAAGAAACAATTGATTCTTGAATTCACCTTGTAAAAGTTGTCTCAATGTATGCTGACTAATGTCAGAAACTGCTTTTACGTAAAATCCAACCTTATCAATTATGTTTTGAGGAAGTTGCCGATATACATTAATAAAGTGTACATTATCGAGACAAAGTGTATAGCTATAATGGATAAGACTCAATTTAGTAATTGATAGACCCGGCGCACTTAACGGCCAACAAATATTAATGAAACAGGTACAACCTGTCTTAACAAACTTCTGGTTATGTTGTTGTGAAAGTTCAATTGTCTTTTTCTTTGATTAGTAGTTTCCAGCATGTTGACATTCAAATGCATACTTATAAACCCACCATTTTGTCTAGTTTTTTATCCTGAATTTGTCATGCAAAACCCTCTTTTTGTCTATAAGCTAATAAAACTAAATTAACGTGATCCTAGTGCTCAAACTGCAATCCCACATGTATGTTTGCTGCTTGTTCAAAAGCAATATGAGGTATTGATAATGTTTCAAGTAGACGCCTTTTAGATATTTTATTACGGTTAATCGAAGTGATAGGTAAAAGAAAATCCTTAGAAACTTCTTGGCTAGCAACTTCATTGGCTTCATTCTGGCTCAACTAAAAAGTTAAGTATAAAGTTAATTAATTAATAAGCATTTTTTAAAAAAAAAAAAAAATAACTAATAAGTAGCATAATGAAGAACATATACTTCACTTGATTCTTCTTTCAGGTTATTAAATTCATTATGATTTTCATTATTAGCACTAAGTTTGACTCATCATCTAAAGGCATAAGTACATCAGCAAATTATATAAACGTAATTTTACGTAAGTTATTATGGACCAAAAAATTCCGCAATAATTACGATCAACGCGGAATATTTCGCAATTTTTAATTATGGAATATTACGAAATATATTACGCTATATTACAAAAACAATTTCACAATATTTCGAAATAATTCGAAATTAGAAAAAATAAATTAGCTATAAAACTGAAATAAAATAAATACATTAATTAAA